ACCAAGGAGCTTCTGCCCCCACATGGGCTCCCTTCTCTCTCCTACGTGTTAGGTGGGTTTAGAAATAAACATTCAGGAAAATTAGGAGCAATGCGTGTGTCTTAGTGTCACTAAAGATAAAGTTCAGGTTTATAAAGAAGAGCCTTGGTACCATTCACTGATCCATAAATAAAGATGACCAAAGTGAAAAGATTCGGCAAAGACAGGTGAGAGGGGACTGCAGGAGCAGTTACTTGCTGGGCTATAGTCACCCTTATAGAAACAAAGGTTGTAACACTAAGTGGTAAAATAAAATTAAAACTCTGCTACATATTGGTATATATGTAAACTCACTAGTCTTTTACTAATGAGTTCTTTCTATCATCACATAAGAAACAGAGGCTTGATGGTACCTTTGTAAAACCAGATAGACTATAGTTCTTCACTACCTTTCCTCTGTACATAATCTTTACAGATAACTAAAATTTCATGAATTTGATTGTTGCATACTGAAACTACACTCAAATGTATCATAAAAGATTTTTAAAAATGTGGTAGCAGTCCCTTACCAATGATATTTTCATATTTTGAGTTATTGTCAAAGATGTTCATAGAATAAATAATTAAGTGCCATGGGGAGCTCAGTAGGCAATGCCCAAGGTAAACAGTTGGGAGGTGCTGGAGGAGCCATCCGCACCCAGGTTAATAAACTGAGTCTAAATTAAACTTGATCTTGAAATCGCCTAGTGGACCACTGCAAGCAGAGATGAGAGTTAAACAACAGAACCAAAATACACAGTAAGCCAGGTAAATAAAGCCTTTAAAACATGCAATCAGAAATAACAAATGGAAAAACATCTAAATGCCATAGTGATGTCAAACAAGATTTAACTCTTTATCCCCATGTTGTTTTTCAGAAAGCATGCATTGTTTAAGTATTCCTTGTCTCCATCAAATCTTAAAAATCGCCCGTGGCAAGAACACGTACTTCTCTGGCACAACATTTTTGGGGCTTATCCCTAAGGAAAATACACATAGTGACATTATGAGGTGGCTGTTTGCACTAAATATATGATTTAAAATGTTTAAAATAACCATGGGAAAAGAATTTGATGCTTAAAGCCAAAACATTACAGAAATTACAAAAATGGAGAAGTGAGCATATACATTTACCTGTTTTTCCACAAAAATCATTATAATGAAAGTTGAGGATTTCTGTTTTGTTTGAAACATAAGCTTACAGGCAAAGAGAACAGAGGACTCAATGGCAACATTTGGGAAGCTGTGCTTGTGAATGTGAAGTCCCAGGAGGCTCTGCAGTGCATGAGGCCACATCATCCCAGACTACCTAGTGCTGAGTAACTCTACGTAGGGTTTCAACCCAAACCTTGAAACTCATTCTAGTAGAGTAACAACAATCATAAAACAATGCCTTCACAATTCGGAGGGAAAATTATTCTCAATCTACAATTCTATAGCCAATCAAACTACCAATTAAATGTGAGAATAAAATAAAAACTACAGACACTCACAATATCATAACTGTTCCCAATAATAATCTTATCTGAAGGACATCCTACCACCATGTGCCCTTTCTCAGGAATCTTCTGAAAGATATGCCCCACCAAACTGAGAAAGAAAAAATAGATCCCAGGAAACAGGGATCCCCAAGATACATATGAGGGAGAGCCCAGAAGACACCTGTGCAGCAAGTGTAGCGAGCAATCAGTCCAGACTGGAGGTAGTCAGAGGCTTTTTTAGATGGAAGGTACAAGGATTTTTTTAGGATACCTAATGTATTGAATGCACTCAGAGAAGGTTACACAATTGGGAGAAGAGTTTGGCTATAGATTAGTAATAAAATTTAAAAAACCCAACCCCCACCGCAAAAATACAATTTTTAAATTCAGGAAAATAAGTTCAATAAGGAAAGGAAAAGTAATCATAGTGCACAACGTAACAAACTGTGAATAGCATTTACATTGTCATAATAACAGACAGTGAATATTGATGCAACCAAAATAAAAGTATAACAATAGTCGGAAGATGGAAGTGTGTGGAGAGGAGACTGAAGTGAAAGAAAGTCTTCCACAATGGAAATTCAAAATATAAAAGCCTAAAACTGAAAAACTACTAAGGGAAAATATAGACATTATTTGGAGTTTTGGAGATAAATACAAAAGAATCAGCTAGAATAGTCGAACCTGATTGCCTCTGGGGAGGGATGGGGTAAGGGGAGACTATTGTTTCAAAGTAAGGTTTAATGAACTATTTGATCATTTTAAATGTGTAGGTATAATTTTACTAAAATAACTAAATTTACAATAATGGAAATCCTTGAATCTATTACTACAACATACATGTTAAAATCAGCCAATCTGTCAACATGTGCACTTACATTAAAAGCAAAACTAAAAATGGAAAAACTTTTGCTAGTCATGCTTGAGGAGGCCCTTGGCACTGCTCCTTACCTACATCCGTTGGGTGGTTCTCAGCCGTGAAGCTCATCAGAATCACCTGGAGGCCCTGCAAAGACAACAGACTGCCTGGCCCCACCCCCCAGCATGTGTCTGATTTAAGGTCTGGATGAGCCCTAAGAAGGTGCATTTCTAACAAGTCCCCAGGTGATGCCAACCTGTTGGGGCAGGGACCACATTCTGATAATTGTTCTCTATTACTTGGTTATATATTTGTATCCTTCACTAGACTGTGAGCTTCTTGAGGGCAGGGAGAATTTCTTACACATCTCATCGCCAGAGTCTGGCCGGTGTCCAGCAGTCATTCGATCAGTAAACAAATACTGAATGCCCATTATGTGCCAGGCACTGTTGTAGGCACTGGATTCAGCAGTTAAAAAAAACTCTATATCTAAATATCTGTTTATCTATCTATCTATCTATCTATCTATCTATCTATCTATCTCCCTGCCTCATAGAGCTTACCTTCTGGTACTACATAGTAAACTCTCAATAAATTCTGAAATCTGACCAGTTGTACAGAAAAAGATGGCATTGTCATGATCATTTTAATAGTGCTATGGAAATATCAATTTTCCATTTCCGAATCACAGCTTTTCCCTTTGGTATGTTTCTCCCATTTGTATGTATCTTCTGATATCCACCCCCCTCCAACACCCAACAATAAATCCATAAACCTGGCAGTATTCCAGGCTTTTGGTTGGGTCTTACAAAATATTGACTGATTAATAAAACATTTGATGGAGGTAACATATTAGTAAAACAACAAATCCAAGAAAACTTTTAAGTACATCTAATTAGTGTACGAAAGCAACTGGGGATATAAACAAATCTGTTTGCATATTGATAAATATTAAAGAAGAGCTTAACCACTGGTTACCTCTAAGGGCACCTCTTCTCCCTCCCTCTCTATTCCATGCCCTACACCTTGTGTAAAAATGCTGACAGTTCTCAACTGCCTGCTATGACTTTGAACTCCCAGTGGAACTAAACAGCCTTCTGTAGATGCAAGGGCATCTGGTCAGGATTCGGATTGTCCTGTGCAATTCTGAGGAACCAGCAGAGGCCTTGTGAAGCCACGTGGTGTCGTGGACAGGAAGGGACATCAGCAGAGCCAAGCCTGGTTGCCTCTGTCACCAGGGAAGTAGTTCCTCAGGACGGCCTGCCACGGGCCCGAGGGCCACGGCCACCGCAGCTCCCTCTCTAACTGCAGGAAAGTACAAAGCGGGAACCTTCATCTTGGAAGTAATTTTCTGAAAATTTCTCAGCGAGAGAGAGAGAGAGAGAGAGAGAGAGAGAGAGAGAGAGATTGATTTGATTCCTGAAGAGCAGTTTGGAATGATGTAACTGAAATGACCATAAGTTTACTTTCAGGACTGTCAGTATGCTTAATGATTGCAAATGTTTTTGAAAGGCCTTGAATTCAAAGCCATGAGACACTCGGTGTTAATTATGTGGAGGGGAAATGGTCATCATTATGAACAGAATTCTAAAAAGCTAGTTTCAATATTCCAAACTATTTCTTCTCTGTTAATCATATCCAAATTGAAAATTCATTGCTAGTGATTTCAGGAGTAAGTGCTATCAAATAGTAATACAGTCTCAAAATAATATTTTCCTATTGCTATCCTAAATCAGTAATATACCACTGTAGTCCAACAAATCACTATGATTTCTACATATGAAAGACTTAAGAAAAATTAATAACCTTTTAAAAAATATACTTTTAGTAATGCAGACAAGGTCCACTAACTTCATTTATGTGATTCAATCTTAAATAAATTCTGGTTATTAGAAAGCTTTGGGTATAAATGTGAACTTCTGGTGATTCATACAATGACTCTTTAAAATGGCCAGGTTGGCCCTGGCTGGCATGCCCAGTGGTTAGAGTGTCAACCCTCACATCTAAGGGTCACAGGTTCAATTCTGGTCAAGGGCACATACCTAGGTTACAGGTTTGATACTTGGTTGGATACATCAATGTCTCTCTCACATTGATGTTTCTCTCTCTCTCTCTCTCTCTCTCTCTCTCTCTCTCTCTCTCTTTCTCTCCTCTCTTTACCCTCCCCACTTCCTTTCCTCTCTCAATGGAAAACATATCCTTGGGTGAGGATTTTAAAAAATTTGTTTTTAGCCGAAACCGGTTTGGCTCAGTGGATAGAGCGTTGGCCTGCGGACTGAGGGGTCCCAGGTTCGATTCCGGTCAAGGGCATGTACCTTGGTTGCGGGCACATCCCCAGTGGGAGATGTGCAGGAGGCAGCTGATCGATGTTTCTCTCTCATCGATGTTTCTAACTCTCTATCTCTCTCCCTTCCTCTCTGTAAAAAATCAATAAAATATATTTTTTTTTTAAAAATTGTTTTTAATGGCCAGGTTGGCTCAATGGTTGAGTGTTCATCCATGTACCAGGAGGTCACCAGTTCGATTCTCGGTCGGGGTACATGCCCAGTTTGCGGGCTCGATTCCCAGTAGCAGGTGTGCAGGAGGCAGCCGATCAATGGTTCTCTCTCATCACTGATGTTTCTAATCTTCTCTCTCCCTTCCTCTCTCTAAAATCAATAAAAACATACTTAAAATAAAATGGCCAGGTTGTTTAAAATAAAATCCTTGGAGCATTTTATTGATTGTCACCATTGTAATCCAAGGGAATTAATGTTTCTTAAAAGATGTGTATTTCTCTGCTGAGATGTGACCTCCAGTGAACCACACCCCCATTTAGACTGGCGAATATAAAGCAAACAGGGAGAAATCAATCCCTGTGGGAATCAAGCTGGTCTCACTATGCCTCTACTACTGGTACCCCATTTAGTGTAATAAAAGAGCACAGAACTATATTCTGGAAAACAAATCTCAAAATATTATCATTACTGTCATTCATATGCTAGTAATAAATTAGCATTCCCAGATTCTTTTCAACTATTTGCAAAATCCACCCTTATTGTCTGAGTTAACGAGGCTGACTTTTTAAAGTGCAATGAAAATTCTTGACGTCTTCACTCCAGTTCAGACAGGTCTCCTTAGTGGTTTCCAAGACACAGCTTCTTGTGTGGGTGCATTTCTTCATTCGGAGGGATGGGTCGCACCACACCATCTAGTGTTCAAGAATAACAACGTCAGGAAAACTTCACTTCAAATATGTTTGCATTCGTTAAAGTCATATAGGTTGCAAGATCAAAATAATGCTTAAGTTAAAAAGGAATATTCTTTATCTTAACATGCTCAACTGTTGAAGACAGATTCCAGATAACTCACTCAGGTAATACAGTATCTAAGCTTTAAAAAAATGGGCTCACAACAGTGTAAGGCCAACCATTCCTTAAACATTTTTTGGGGAAAATTTGATCCTTTTATTAGCTGGGAAGAAACAAAATGAACCTCCTTCTCCTTTAAGGAGGTGAGGGAACAGTCTGTGGAGCATAGAGAGTACGAGGGAAGGCTCCACAGTTCCCACACTCCTCCACTGGAAGGGAGTCAGACCTAGCTCACTGCTCGGATGGGAGAAGAGGCTGGCTTCAACCTCTCCCGTCTTTTGATTTTAAGAGCTTAATTGGTATGAGAAATTGCATGTTTAAAGTATACAATTTGATAAGTTTTGATATTAGTATACATCCCAGAAACCATCACTTAAGTCAATGTGATGAACATATCCATTATCTCCAAAAGTTTCTCCCGCCCCGCTGCTTCTCGTCTTTCCAGGGACCTGCTTGCCCTCCAAGCCTGTGTTTTCTGCTCTGCTCTGTTTTCTTAGCCATAAGGACACCTGATTAGGAGGGCGCAGTCTTGCCGTCTGGAGGCAGATCGGGAAAGCCTACCCCCTCTCTTAAAAAAGAATATATATAACACAGATGGAAATTTTAATGCCTAATAATAAAATGTATATTCAAGACCACCCCCAAAAACTAGAACAAAATTACTTCTGTATGCTCCCCAATCTAATCCCATTCCTCTTTCACCCCATTCAAAAGTAACTGCTATCTTGAATCCTGTGTTTCCCATTGCTTCTTAAAAATAATTTTACCACATATACTAAACAATACAGTATTGGCTTCCTTTTTTTTTTTTATCTACC